CTAGGACTCAATCTTCAATGGTATGAGGGGGTGACCTCAGATATGCTAATTAATTAGTGTAAATGATATTTTAAGTTATGAAATTAGACAAAAAAATTTTTCCTTAAATTAATCATAAAACCCCCAAAATATAGCTGGTAGCCGAAATCAGGGAAATACGGTCTCAATAGTTGGGTCAAGGGAGCGTACATCTTGTGCATTTCTCCATATCTCTAGAACTTTTTAAACGAAACGAAACTTTTTGCACACAATTATAAAATTCGTTTATCCAAAGATAATTCTTTGCAAAATATAACTTTTAAATTGCATTTATTTTTTATGATTTTATTTAATAACAGTAAAAAAAATTTAGATTGTAATTATGCAATTTTGTACATTATTTTAGAGAATGCAATTTTACGTAGAGAAATTCAAAATTTGAGCAAAAGCTGTCGAATAGTACCCGAGAAATCGAGTTTTAAAAGAATCGTATATTTAAAATCTGAACCTGTCGAAAAAAGGTATGTTTATTCAGAAAAAGTGCGTTTTTGTGTCTGATTTCATAAAATATGGTTTGCGCTAATTAGTTAGCATATTTTACGTCACCCCCCTTGAATCAGTAGAAATCCTAGAACTTGAAGATCCAATCATTAGATTAAAAATTATTCAGAGGCCCGTTTTTTTTTTTTTTTTCGCAATAGGTTTTGGCGTAATTGCTGACAGTGAAATATTAATTTCAGTAGTTAGTGAAGAAGGGAAATAAGGGGCCATAGTTGATAAGCCAATAAAAGGCGCATTAAGCAGGATTTCTGAAAACACTAAAATATTTTTTTATTTTATGAGGAAGAAGATAACTAGGCCAGAAGGTTTCCCACATACACTCACTTTATTATGTTGAATAAGGCCGGGTTAGCCTGATCGGTAGGGCGCTGGACCCATGTTCGAGAGTTCGTGGGAAATTACCCCGCCTGCCGAAGACTCCCCGTGTAGTAAAATGCCTGATGCACGTTAAATCTGTCGAGTCGCAAAAGTCCTCCATGTTCTCATAACAAATCAATACCTCTGGGGGTACTGGATTGGAGATCGATCTTTGTCTGATTCAGGTCAAAATTACGATCTGTGAATGAAGGAATGGATGTATGAATGGGTTCGCCCTATAAACAGGTGTGAAGTATGGTTGGCAGAAGTCGAATTCTTGACCATAGATGGCGCCAATGGAAAACAAGAACAATCGCATCCCCTCTGCCTGAACAGGCATACGTCAACATTATGTTGAATGATTATTAAAAATGATGTTTGTTTTTTCATTTTCTGAAATGATACAAAGCATAAATAAAAACTTTTTCCACACCGTTGCTCATTAAAACAGCAGAAAAATGTATTTCCACCCAAAAACTTTTTATCGCGATGTCTGAAGGCTAGTAATTTTCAGCTAGTTTTATGGTAAAGGTGTAAAATCGGGTGGGCCTTGGTTTAGAGACAAGTTTCGTTCAATTTTGCTGAAAACCAGTTTCTGATTACCATGGTGTTCCTTGCTGTATTTGTTTTCGGCGCGGTCACGTTCGGGTTACTTCAATTTTTGTTTACCGTTATGTGATTGGTTCTTGATCTATATTCGTATATATATCTTAGTATATTTTCAAATCGACAACTATAAGAGAGGAAGATTGTAAAATATTACTCGTATTCATATTATAATTCTCATAATTCTCGCTACGGTGATTCGGAAAGTTGCCGTAACAGCGGACTTCCCTCAATAAGTTGTACTCGTTATATCGAGCTGCATTTGGCACCAAATTAATTCCTACAACATTTTAAATTAGGTATTTTTCAGAAACGTAAGCTCGTAAAAGAATAGGTTCGATGTTGAACCATATAAGTGATTTTACTAAGTTTGTGGGGGGATTCAGGAATAGCCCCCCCCCCGTGGTGACTTTTTGAAATCTCGCCAAACTAGATTTCTGGAAGATATTTCGGGGGGATATGTTGCAACCTTTTTGCAAGTTGTTTTTATTTTATTTTATTAAAAATATTTTATTAAATTTGTTATAATTTAAATTTTTTTTTAATAATAAAAAAATAACGTTAATCCAAGTAATAATCGCCATCTTGGCGAGATTTCAAAAAGTCGCCAAGGGTTATTCTAGGATTTTACCAGTGTATAAGTGTTTCAAATTAGTGCTTTGAATCATAACTCATAAGACGGTGCAAATTTGCTGTAACTTCAAGGTGTTAAATTTAACCGCTTAAATTGAATCGTAATATCACGTAAACAAATTTAATTATGTTTATATGGATCAACTTAGCACTACATTAAAATTTCTTGCCTGTGATTATAGCGATAACTATATCGGAAAAACAATTGGGAGTCTTGGTGAAGGATATCGATTGAAGGCGATAATATTGGGTTAATGAATTTAAACCAAATATTTAATTTCCACCAGAGATACTTGAAAATTTAACATACAATGATTAATACTTGGAGGCATAAAGTTTGTATGAGTCACACTATTTTCCTACTTAGGTTAAATAATCACTGAATATAACTTTATCACAGTTTAAACATATTGAAACGTATTGAAATATTGTTGAAAATCTAGTTTGATTTTCTCTTAAAAGCGAAGTACTATAAAATAAGTTTCCTTCTGCAGCCAGCACTTTTATATGGAAGTGAATCGGACATAGTTTTAAGGTAGATAGGTACTTTATTTACGTCGCACTAGAGCTGCACAATGGGCTATTGGCGACGGTCTGGGAAACATCCCTGAGGATGATCTGAAGACATGCCATCATAATTTTGATCCTCTGCAAAGATGATGGCTCCTCTGCTTTGGTAGCCCGACGACCTGCACGCAAAGTCGAGTACTTTACTGTAGAACAGTTTAGCGTAGACCAATGCCGCGCAACCTCTGTCCTTACGCAAGCTGATCAAAGTGGTCACCCACCCGCTTACTGACCACAGCCAGTCTTGCTTGACTTCGGTGTTCTACTGGGAACCGGGTCTTTATGATCAGTCCACTGCGGAAAGACATTGTTTTAAAAAGATTGGAGCTATCAATGATAAGAGAGTACGGAGAGTTAAAATCAATTCAAAAATAGGATTTACGAAATACAGTCGAACCTCGCTAACTCGAACCTCGATTTCACGAATTTTTCGATGTCTCGAAGAAAAAAAAATTCCCTTCAAATTTCCTATACGCTCAATGTTAAAAAAAACTTGATTTCACGAATTTTTTTTTCTAATCCCTCGATAACTTGAATTTTTTTTCTCCATAAATAGTGTAGATTTTTCTTCTGAAAATAAGAAACTATTAAAAAAAAATAAAAAAAATTAAGAATGGAAAACCAATTCTCATAATGATAAACTTTTTCTAAAAAATGGACATAGTGGCATGGAATGATGCGTCTTTCTCTACGATAATGAATAGCTTCAAGAAGGCTGGATTCATTAAAGATCACGAAAGTAGTCAAACAATCAATATCGTTAATTCTGCTGAAAACTACACCGAAAATGATTGGGACGGATTGACCGGACTCATGAAACTTGATGACATGGAATTTCATGACTTTGTAATCGTAAATGATGCAGTAACAGTGTGTGGTCAGTGGGATGACATTGATATCATCGCTCAAACGACAGCTTCTTATGAACTATCAGAAGAAGAGAATGAGGAAATCGAAGATTTACCACCCAATGTTACGAGCAAATCAGCACTTTCTACAGTGGACACTGTAAGGAGATTTATTGAGAGGCAGCCAAATATGTCAGAGGAGGCATTCGCTATAGTCCACTTAGAAAGTGTTACAGACAAACTTCCTTAGACATCTCTAAAGCAAACAACAATTGAATCTTTTTTTAAAAATGAAAGTGTAAAAAGTGTTTTCAGAATAAATATGGAATAGTAAATAAGGTATGTAAAGAGCATTTTTCTTTATTATACCATCGATAACATACGATTTTCGATAAATCGAATTTTTGGTATCTTGAATTTTTTCTCCTCTCCCTTCAAGTTCGAGATATCGAGGTTTGACTGTATAACAATAGGAAAATTATCATTTTTAATATTAACTAATTTTTTAATTTAATATCATTTTTAATAGTTGGGCAATTCCACGGAAGTGTCAACTTTTAAGTGAAATTTTTTTTTTTTATGAATTGCTTATTTTAATTTTAAAAATATATTCAAAAATAGCCAAAGTCTACATATTGCCGTTTCATTTTTGATAATTTTAAATTTTTTGAATCTGGCAGCATTCTAAAGAAATCACATGGTTGACAAGTGAATTGTTCACATTTGTGCTCAAATAGTTTTCTTGAAAAATACTTTTAAAATAAAAGAAATGTATCTTTCTTTTGCAATATTTTGATAAAAATATGCATATAGAACAAAATGTAAACATTTTAAGTTTAGTATGTAAAATAACAGTAACTTCTTTTACGTCATTCCGTCACATGTCTTAATGCATAAATTTCCTGAGAACGAAGATAACATGTGACATTGGCAAGTTAGATATAAAACCTCTTCAGAGACAACCTAATTTTCAAAATATTGAAATTTTTACTAATTCTTACATAAATATTAATCATGTTTATCTGTTACATTCTGTTTATCATTTACATATTAATAAAATATTTTTTAAATGAAGGCTTTCTTCGATTAAACTTTTTGTCATTCCGTCACGGTCATTCCGTCACAGCAAATAGATGTTAATAACTGCTAGCCAACCTGAGGTTAATTTTCCAAATTCACATTTTACATTGCTTACACATTATACTAAAAGTATAAAATAGTTCAGAAAAATAATAGCTGCAAAATTCGCAGAAACTACCAGTTCTAAGCGGCATGCTAAGCAGCTTGGTTGCCAAAATGTCATTCCGTCACGCAAATAAAAAGTTCGTAAAATTAAAAGTAAAAAAGATAGAAAATCCTGCTTTTTTAGTTTATGAAGCGCATTATGCCAATAATAATGATATGCATGAGAGAAAAATTTTTTTGTTTGAGATTAGATACATAGAAACTTCAATTAATTGTTATTTTGCGTGTCAAAATGTCATTCCGTCACATATGGAATTGCCCTGTATATAATTTAAAAGAAAACATACTGAAATACAATCTTAACAGTTGAAGTTACTAGCTTTTTGAGAGCAATAATAGTGAAATCAATGTGATGTAGTGACCATTAGAAAAAACTTTGTTAATGACCACTTTTGCATAGATTAAAAAAAAAAAACAGAAAAAAAGAACTTAATTTTGTCTCAAAATTGTAATTAAAGTATAAATTTCATTAGTTTCTAGATAATTGATAATATTTGTTATTTATAAACTAAGATCAATTTTAAATTGGATGATATTCCGTCCTTATTTCAATATGAAGAGCATTTATGATATGAATGAATAAGATTTAGCAAAAATACAGAAATATTGTATAATTTTATTAGAAAACGATGAGATTACCATTTTATTTATATCTGTCTATTTTTTCTAGGAAAGGTACACGGTTCTCTTGCTCGTGCTGGCAAAGTTAAAGGACAAACTCCTAAAGTAAGCAATAATTCATGTTATGAGCAATATTTTTTTCTGATATTTTTTAATTCTGTCAACGAACTTTTTGAAAGATATCTCCTGATGCATGATTATTGGTTTTAGTGGCAACTAGCTTTTTTGTTTAAAAGAGTGAAATCTTGATTATTATTATTGCAGCAGCAGAGTCTGAATTTGAATGCATTAAAGAAGAAATTTAAATTCCTTTCAAAAATTTATAAATTTCCTTATTATTTTTTTTTAATGAAAAACAGATCTCTTTCCTTAAAGTATTTGTTAAAGATAAAAATATTTGCAGAATTTTTTTTTGTGTTATTTTTAAATGTTCATAATTATTTTTAGGGGTGCAATTTTCTGCCATTTTGGATCAAATGTTTCTTATTTTTCTACTAGTTTTGTTTTTATTAGTTCTGATAAATTTCTGCAATTTCTTAATTAACACTTTTCAAATTGTGAATTGAGGGACTATCTATCAATTGTTGAAGATTTTTGTAGGTGGTATAATTACAGGATTGCCAGAGGTGACTAATATGCGACTCTTTGCTACTATTTTCGACCTGAGGCAACTATGGCTACTTTTTTTTTTTTTTTTTTTTTTTTTTTTTTTTTTTTTTTTTNTTTTTTTTTTTTTTTTTTTTTGCCTGAAAAGGCTATAAAAGCAACTATTTTCAGGAAACTATTGAGACTATTGGGAGACTTTTTTGTTTTAGCAATGTTTTTTTCCCTGCATAAATTGGGTTGACAACCTTCGGCCCGCGATAACTTCTGAACATAGTGAATTTTTTTTCTAAAAAATAAAAAATATACCGTAAACCGGGGCGAGTCTACCCATTTTTTCAGTTTGTCAACTTTCAAGTGGTCAAACTTTTGTAAATATTAAAGAAAAAAGGCTTTTAATAGGTGTTTTGGAATCTCTATTTATCCCTCTTTAAAGCTGTGAAGTCGATTTCAGGAAATATTAACAGTTACGCTGTTACTGTATATTTTTATAGAACTGCTGACAAATACAGTAATTGGGGCGAGTCTACCCATTCTACTAAAATGAATGTTAACATTGTAAATAATCAAATTTTACTATTAAATTGTTATTTTAGTTACTATATAGGATATTTATGAAGTAAAATTCATAACTTTATTATATATTCCATTTTTTTATTCATAAAATAACACAAATTGAGTATTTGATCGATTATCACATTTTGATCACAGTTTTGTTTTTATAATCATTAACATTATAAAATAACATTTTTTTCTGATTATTGTTGATAAAAATAAATTAAAATTAATATAAATTTACAATTAAATAATTAATAAATAATAATAATTAAAGATTATTAACAAAATCGAAATTCAAACATTGGGAATCATGAAAAATCCTTTTCCCATTCTTTTGGGAGGTAATAATAATTTATAAATAATAATTTATTTAACTTGCATTAAATAAAAAAAGTTAATTTTGTAATATAAAAATTGAAAAAATAGGTAAAATAAACATATTTTATATTTACATTTATATTTAACCTATAAATTTTCTTATTAATGATAAATTTATCAATGCAGAATTAAAATAATATACTCAAATTCATTTAAAATGACTTAATTTTAATATAAACAAAGTTCTAAATTATATTATTATGCTTTATTAAAACTAAATACGAATGGGTAGACTCGCCCCGCGAATTCTGGCTTTTTGTTTACAACAGCAAAACTTACATTCTTTTTGGGTTTTTTTTTCATATAAAATTAATGTAATCTTAGTCTTAGATAAGTTTATCACTTAACCAAAGTGAAAATGGTAATAATAATAATATACTTACGGAGCACCAACTCAAAGTTTGCTGATTTTCAATACAAATCTCTCAAAAGACGTTTGAACAGGTCGGTTAAAAAGACACCAAATAAATAAAAACAAATCAAACTACTACAGCGCCATCTTCCTTAGAGACTGAACTAAGTCCTCCATCGGTAAAATTTTTTTTATTTGCAATTTAAAATAGTGAAAATTAAATAAAACTAAAATGGGTAGACTCGCCCCTGGATGGGTAGACTCGCCTCGGTTTATGTTATTGAATTGGAAATTTGAGTCATCACTTTTTAATGCACTCAATTTACACAGATTCCATTGTGAATTTATTTTGTTTCTCGATTACCTTTTCAACTGTTATTGCTACGAAACTCTGCATGATTTTAAAGAACGCAATTTTTAATACGATACTATGATGCGAGAATTTCAAATTTTAGTAATCACTTTATATATATATTTGCTAAATCAATTATTGATAAAGAGAAAAATTATGTGAAAAGGAAAATTAGTAGAAAGATTTTTTTTTTTTTAAGCGAAAAATTATTTTTCTTGATTAATTCTGGCATTTAAAAGTTTAATGTTCTGCAAATATACTAATTTTTTTTATATAAAGATATTTTTTTTTATATAAAGAACATTTATTTAAAGATTATCATATTGGCCGTCAACTTGACTGAATGGATCATGGTATATTACAATAAAGTCATTTAATAAAATATTAGTCATATTATTGAAAAAAATTTGTTCCTATTTAGGCAACTATTTTCATAATTTTAGACAACTTATTTTCATGCTTTAGGGTACAAGGTACTAGAAGCAACTATTTTGTTCATTTTTTTTCTGTGGCAACCCTGTAAATACTAGATAAGTTGTTTCAGAATTTTCACTAAAGTATTTTATTGTTGACTAACTTTCTTCTTTATAAATTTTTTTGCCTGCATAGTCCCTATGTTTCCATTTGGAAATTATTGAAACTCTATTGGTAATTATTTAATTAAAAGATGTATTGAATCTCATTAGACAAAATACTAAGTTTAAGGTTATTAGCCAATCCACATTTTTAAGCGCTTCAGGACCATGATAACATGTGCAACTGCGTAATTCTTCTATCACGACTGGTACTCTCGTAATAGTGGATATGCATACACTTGAGTATAAAACTTCAAGTATGCTTGTCTTGGGGAGCACTTCTTTTTCATTCTGCCAGCCCTGAATAATTAATAAATACGGAAAGGTTTCACAGAAGAGAAAAGTTAACAGAAAGGTTAACTCAGAGGAGATCTTTGTTCATGCTGGTTATCAAAAACATGAAGAAAAAAATTCAAGCCAAAGGGAATAGGATGTAGAATTTAAGAATGAATTTTTTAGAGCAACTGGTGCTTGATAATTTCTACACAACATGATAATTTCTCTTAAAATCCAGACTTATCACTTGCAGACTTATCACTTACCACTGTCTTACCTCTCAAGTATCCAAGTCTCGTTTCTTAAAAAAATTATATTCAGTAATTTTTTTGCCCATCTCATTTCAAAATATATATTTGTTAATGCAGTGTATCAAATAATATTCATAATGATCTCTCTAATAATATTCTACAGAATTGCTGCCAAAGTGGAAAATTGGTTAGATTTATTAAGTCTGTTTCATTGATGTTTAAATCATTGCTTGTTGCTGGTTGCTTCGAAAACACTTAATAATATAATGATATTTGGAAATTTTTTTTTTAGCTAATACTTAATTCTTTTCCAACTTATTTAACAGGTAGAAAAACAAGAAAAAAAGAAAAAGAGGACTGGTCGAGCTAAACGAAGAATGCAATTCAATCGCAGATTTGTTAATGTAGTTGTTACGTTTGGCAGGAAGAAGGGACCAAATTCCAATTCATAATTTATGTATGTTTTTAAGTTGGTATTAAAAATAAATTTGCTATTGAATTGATATGCATAATTTTCTTAAAATTTTTTATATTCTAAATTCATAAACTAATTCTATTTACAAATATGTTTTGTATACAGTAGAGCGCCGATTATCCGAATTGCTCGGGACCGAACATGGTTCGGATAATTGGAAAGTTGTTTAAAATCTAGTGTAAATGATTATTATTTATGCATTAACTTCCCTTCGCACCTTTTGTTGGCTAAGAACTGGCAGTACTATCTAAAAATAGCTCTGGTGTGTTTAATATTTTTTTCCTTTTTCAATTTTTAAATATTTTTAATAAATTTTTTTTTTCATTTTGAATTATTTTAATCATATTTCAGTTTTTTATAATTTTTTTTGTCAATTACTGATTTTAAAACATTTTTCATTATTTTCCATTGCAAAAGAAATCCAGCAAAGATCTCGTTTCAAAGAAGTCGCATTTTTTTTTAGCAGACATTTATCCCTTATTCTTTTTAAATAAATCAACTGAACTGGATCAGCATCATTTTGACGTTCTAGCCAGTTCATTGCGAAATCTAATGGATTGCATGCTTCTATATGAGAAGGTCCACTATCTTGAACTTGATCACCTACTTCTTTCACTTCGTCTGTAGAGTTCCGATTTTCATTCAAAATTTCAGCAACAATTTCATCATTTTCATCCGAAAGATCTACTGGTTCAGAAACTTCAGTTTCGTTTGTTTTTCTGTTAAGAATTTTATTCCAAGATTTAAGATTCCAAGCACTGAAATCACTAATTATTAACCATAAGTTACAACTACCCATTCCCCAATTATAAAACTTCAGAACTTATCAATTTATAAACTCCTTCTGCATTCCAACCATTGTAAACTATCAAAATGAAGCTTGCATTCTTGGAAGATAATTTTCTGTTGCAATGGGGTATGTAGTTTTAACTGTATCACAATGCATGTATGTATGGCCACTATAAGAAAACTGCTAAAAAGGTTGTAAATTAAATATGGTCTTCAGATGTGGGGGTATTATTCATTCTTCTCAATTTAGAAAAATTGTCAATATGTTAAAAAGTATTCTAAAAATTAAAAAAAAACCGAATTCAGACATAGTTCGGATAAAAAGGGTTCGGATAATCGGCTCTCTACTGTACTTATTTTCTTAAACTTGATTGTACGTATTACTTTTATTGAAAATATGTCTTTTGAAATATCGAATGTTTTTGGGCTACCAGTTCTGTAATAAATTACACTTCCTCTGCTTAGAATATTAAATGTTTCAAAGTTAGTTTTTTTGTTAAAATTGTACTCCAAAAAATTGCTGACAACAACTGTTCAGCTCATAAGGAAAATAACAGTTTATTTTAGAGCAAGCCTAGTGTTAATGGCAAATATTTCCATAGCATGGTTTTCAATATTGCAATGAAATTTTTATGTACTGTTGATCATTTTATTATTTTCTTTATGTAAATTTTCATTTTAAAAATAAGTATGCTTACTGTTTAAGTTTCCACTTGCCATTGGTGATCACATAATTAAGTCTGGCAAGTAGGTTTCAGTTTTAAAGGTTGAAATTTAAGTCGAACAATGGTAGGCTTAGGTTGTGTCTAAGTGGGGAGGCATGTGGCGATGTTATTTTTCTTCTATTTAAAACAAAAATGCTGAATCACTTTTTCATACTACACCTGCTAAAATCTTCCAAAATTGTTTATAGCGAGAGAAAATTGTATCCAGTCTAATATTTTTAGAACTGAAATTTCGTGTCCTGGTTTAACTGGCAAAGGTTGTTTAATTTTAATAGTTAGCCTGAGAATATTTATAATTATAAGAAAGTTTTGTTTTAGGATGAAAAATTTTCTCTTCGATATTTACCTTATGTTGGGAAGTATTTTTATGCAAAAAATTCTTGTGATTAGCTAGTAGCACAAAGGATACTAAATTAATTAAACGAAATTTTTGTGTGAAATATATATTATTTTTTAATCTATCTTGCACCCATCACATTAGTATCGTATAAATACCAATCAAGAATGTAATTAAACACGTTTATTGAGGGAGGAAGTAAATGTAAATATTAGTTACGAAGTTATTTTCTTTTTTGAGCAACCAACATCCATTTAATAAATAAAATAAAAAAAATCTTATTTTTCAAAACAAATGAAAAACTTTCTTCTTCTTCAAGTGATTCAAACTCTGGAAAATCATCTCTTGGGCAGCATTTGCCCTTAATTTCATAAGGAGAACTATTCACTGCCTTGAAATTACCTTAATCTATTTCCGTTGTTGGCTACAATTACCCTTGATTTGATGACGTGAAAAAGTTCCATGTTAGATTAATATGTGAAATGTTCCCCATTTCCCTCCCTTCATCACTGTATCTTACTTTACTGTTTTTAGAGGGAGAATCCTCGTATTTAGCTATTACTTAACAATTTTCCATATTTAGACTATTTTCATCCCTTTTTAGTTTAAAAAAAAAAAAAAGAAAAAATTTTTATTTAATTTTTTTTTACAAAAATATCTTGGCTTAAAAATGTTTCTTTCTTCGCTCAAGTTGCTAAAATCAAGTTACTAAAACTATCAACAATTAATTGTGTATCTTTTAATCTTTGTCTGTACCGTACATTACAAATTGCTCCTATTGGAGAATCGGCCTCCTTACATTTGAAGGCCATTCAGTCCTTAATTCTTAGCCTTTGGACTTCCAGCCCGGCTAATTTTAATAATTGAACAGAAATAATCTTCTATATAAGGAAGAAAAATATCAACAAAGAAAATTTCACATTGAGAAAAAAAACAGTATCATTTGAAGGCAAGACTTTCTAACCATAAAGTTTCTAGGAATTTCAAAATAATATATTGGTTCAGCAATCACATTTCTAATGAAAGCAAGTACAAGATAAATAATTTAAGAGATTCTTTATGTATAGAAAGCAACGTTTTGTACTTTTTATACATAAGGGCATGTTTACATATCTTCGGTGGTAAACTGATCATGGGTTAAAATCCTCTTTCTCTCAAGCTAACTGTGTGGGGTGTGTGTGGTTTTCCTCTGCATGTAAAAGTGTGGGTTAATTCCATTAAAATCTTTACCATGAAACCTAGTTTGTCCCAGTGCTTGATCCAGGAGTTCTTCTTTCTTAGATCAGGTTCAGAATACAAGGGTACCGAGAACATTAATAGTCATGAACTCAGAATTGGGTCGGAAGTTTAACGCTATGTATATATAATTTTTAAAAAAAACCTTCCCTTTGCATCATCTAGTAGAATTTTACGACATACTAAGTTTGAAATAAGATGATTAAAAATATGGTTAATTAAAAGAGTTAAAGCTATATTTATTTATTTAATATATATTTTTATTTTCGAAATGTTAAATTAAAAAAAAAAAGTGAACTGTACAAAGCTCTCTATTTGTTATGTACAATAGTCAGATGTTCTACTTTTTTCATGAAAATCTTGATCCCATATTGGTTTTTCTACAAAATGTTTTACTAGGTAGGGCTTGTCTGGAAGTTCATCAAGAGCAGTCTCTGAAAAAAATATATTTGTTTATTTAAAAACAGGTAAAGTACTATTACATTGATAAACCTAAAAATGTACATTTTCAGAATTGATTTGTTTAAAAACAAATTTTCTTATTAATTTGACTTGCACTTTGTTTAAAAACAAAGTGCAAGTCAAATTAATAAGAAAATTTTTTCAATAACTTTTACCCTATATAAAATCATGTCATTCGTAAAACCTCTCTGTCTTTAGACTTGGTTCATATGTTTCAAATAACTTTGATGTTCAATGAATAGAATATAAATGCTTTAAAAACCATATATTTCTAAATGCAAGCCTAGGGTTCGGTTTACAACTAAAATAAAATTACTGACTCCAGATTATTAATTGATGGATTACCTGTAGTATATTTACAGGATTAATTTTGCGTGCCCTAAATACTATGGTAAATGTGTTTTAAATGCTGCTAGTTTATTTTGTTTGTAGGGTTTTATGTCCTAATCCTAAAGTAATTTGTTGACTTGAGATAAAATACTGTTGCGTAAGTTTTTGTCTGTTCAGGATTCTGCCCTGTGATATTTTGATCAGCGCTGTAGATAATCCATATTAGTTTCTTATATTTTTTTTAGATTTTTTGTTAATGCTGTTTTTAAAAAAAAACCCTAATCAAAACAGTTGTTTTAACATCATAAACCGTACGTAGGTGGGTGTCATTTTTTGACCAATTCGCGGATTATACACGCAAATCGTTTATCCGCCGTTGTTGTGCCATCCACAATTAATTAGAAGTTTACTGTACAGGGTTGCTACAGATGACTAAAATGCGACTATTTGCAACTATGGGTAATTTTTTTTGCCTGAAAAGGGTATAAAAGCAACTATTTTTAGGAAAAGGAGACTATTGGGAGATTTTTCTGTGCTCCTAGCAATGTTCTTTAAGCATAAATTGTTTTGACAACCTGTGACCCGCGGTAACCTTTGAACATAATGAATTTTTCTTCTTCTAAAAAATAAAAAAAATATAGAATTGCAAATTTGATTCATCTTTTTTTAATGCGCTCAATTTGCACAGATTCCATCTTCCATTGCGAATCTATTTTGTTTCTCAATCGCCTTTTCAACAGTTGTTGCTGCGAAACTTAGCATGATTTTAAAGAACCCAAACCTTACTATGATGCATGAATTTCGAATTTATCAATCGCTTTTTCAATATATATATTCTTAATCAATTATTGATGAAAGGGAAAATTAATAGAGAAAGTATGTTTTGTTTTGACAAAAAATTATTTTTTTGCATTAATTCTAACGTTTATAAGTATTTAATGTTCTGCAAATATACTAATTTTTTTTATATAAAAATTTAGTGCTAGAACACTAACGTTTATTTAAAAATTATCATATTGGCCGTCAACTTGACTAAATGGATCATGGTATATTACAATGAAGTCATTTAATAAAATTTTATTTATACTATTGAAAAATTTTTGTTCTTATTTAGGCAACTATTTTCATAATTTTTGGCGACTATTTCCATGCTTTAGGTTACCAGAAGCAACTATTTTGTTCATTTTTTTCTGTGGCAACCCTGACTGTATTTACATTTGAAATTAAAGATATCCATTATTTAATATATTTTATTGCATTCATAAACAATTACTTTTTGTGAAAGTGTTTTTTTTTTACTTAGTTTATTTTTATTTAAAGTAAATTTGTTTAACACCCTGAAAAGATTCAATTTCTTCAAATTTAGAACAATATCTTTTTCATCAACACACTTACATCATTATCGGGGAACTCAAATCATATAGGCTTCTTTTCTTTCAAATTCTAATTGAATTCGGTTAGTATTTCGAAAAGTGTTAAATTTGGCAGGTTGTATTTTACTTTTGTAATTATAAAGGTTTGAAATTTAAATCTGGCAAAAAATCAGAATCTGAAATCAAGTAAACAATAAGATTACAAAATCAAAGCTTTGTGTCTATCGTACCTGCTCTGTTGTCTCATTGAAGATGCGTATGATTCTGGAATCCTAGGATTCGGGCTGTTCGAACAACTGTTCATGTTTTGAATATTACCAAACACAGCTTCATTCGCAATTCTCGGTCTATGTAACAAACTGGAAGAGTTTCGGGACAAATTAGATCCTGATGACGGTGTAACTGTTAAAGGAAGCAAACATCTGGCTATAGTCATTTAAATATATAATACGATGGTAAATTAGATGAAACTGATAATTATATGTACAGTAGGGAACCGATTATCGGGACCATCGCTATTCCGGATAACTGATTTTTCCGGTTATCTGAATCGCTACAAAAAACCGTTTTTTTTATTGTTAAACCCAACTAAAAAAATATTTGGAAATAATCTTAAAAAGAAGAAAAAACGATGAAGTAATACACTAATGATTATTTCCAAAATGATGGTAAGGTAAACATCTTTCTAAAAAGAACGAAAAATCCTGAAATCTTACGAGGAAAATAAATTTTTTTTAAAAAAACGGCGGGAAAATTTATTGAATTTCGTTCCGGTTTTTTGGTTTTCCGGATAACGGGTTCTGCACTGTATTGTTTACAGGTTGTCCAAAACGTGTGGAAACTATCACATATCTCGTGAAGTATGCACCAGATCAAAAATCTAAAAATACTTGAGAAATGTTTTTAAAATATGCATTCAATGGTAGTACTAAACTCCCCCCCCCTAAATCTTACTTCTTAACGGATGCGGACAGCTGCAAAATCTTAAACAAAAACCCCTATTTATTTACTGCACATTTTAATCTTTCTAGAAAAAGTACCCTAATTTGATATACAGGTTGTTACACTTTGGTTTATCCTTAACGCAGTAATGACAGCATGGAAACCCCTCCTTTTCTGGTGCTTGGGGAGGGGGAAAGTTCGTCTCGAAAATCTTTTATATTTCGTTGTATATAACTTGTATATTTTACTCAAATTCCGTCAAAATTTGATTGATGCTGAATTAAATTTAATTATAATTCATGATCGGGTACGGCGAACTCCGAAGCGGGTGACTGATCGTTAAGACACGGTTCCAAGCAGATCACCGAAGTCAAGCATCGATGGTGGGTCAGTGTGCGGGTGGGTGACCACTTGAACAGTCTGCGTAGGGACCGAGGGTGCGCGGTATTGATCCTCGTTAAACTGTACTACTGTAAAGTGCTCGACTTCGCTTGCAGGTCGTCAGGCTACCGAATCGGGAGTGCCATCTCCTCTGCAGAGGATCAAAATTGTGATGCATGTCTTCGGATCATCCTCAGGAATGTTTCCCAGACCGTCGCCAATAGCCCATTGTGCAGCTCCAGTGCGTCGTAAATGAACTACAACCACAACAACTCTTGATCCAGGATGTCACCTGGATCGGGTTCAAAATTACAAGACTACGGAGATGAACAATAGTAGTCCTAAACCAAAAATATTGGGTCGGCTGTTCAACGACGGTTATTAAAATATAGCAAGTGAAGTGGAAAAAAAGCACATTCGGTTTAACGAACTCGAATGTTATCAATACCTGATGAATTTTTATTGTTGAGGTAAGGTTGAAAACACTTAAATAAGTTAGATTGAAGGAGGAAACTGAAAAAAAGTGTTAAGCTACTACTATTAGAAACAGCTTCAAGTTTCATCAGGCACTTGAAATTAATTTTGATGTTTCTAAGCCTGATTTCCTTATGAGTGATTCGTCAAACTTTGATATCAATTTGATTTTTTTTGGCTCAAACATAACTTTCTAACCCCTAATGTGCATACTCCCTACATTTTAACAATGATTTATATTAAGCCTGAAGAAAGCGGAATTCATAATATATAAGTGGGTTAATTTTGAAACTATTTATTTGAATTTTTAGTAATTGTGAACTGTAATCACACACATACAATTTATTGCCATGAAATATAAAATTATACCATACCTCTGGCAAAATTTGGCGAAATGCTCATCGTCGGTGATTTCAAACTTGGAAAACTTAGTTGTTGCTGAACAGGAGATGGTGCTATCGGTGGAAGAATTGGTACTCTTAAACTATTGTTATTAGGAGGTAATTTATCCCTGTTAATAAATAACATAGGTTATAAAAATTTTGAATTTAAACCATTTATAATATTGAATAAACTGAAAATAAATATAAGATTGTTCGAACTATTTCCAAACATTTAATAAAATGTAAAAGTAAATAAATAAGCTTTGTTAAGTAATAATTAAAACACTATCAGATCATATAAAAGTACTATAATGTGTTCGGAATTAAGTACCTAAAAGATTTTCATTGTCAGTTAATGTAAACTATGGATTAACTAATCAGCGGCAAGAGTTGTTTCAGGAATAAAGAATTTACTTTTAGGAATTAAAATACTTATTATTTTTTGTTACGTAAAATATAACTAAATGCTAGAGTTGGGAAATTAGCTGAAGTATTTATTCTAACAGATGGGTTAATTAAAACATTTCGACACTGTACGATACAATGTTTTAGCGCGTTATACAGTCATGTGGGGGTATAGAAAAAGATAGAAATGTACTATAGTGGCGAATTTTTTACCATAGCTATATTCAAAGTCGAGGAGCTGATGAAAAGGTTATATCTTTTTTCCTCCCGGATTTTTATTGCATTTTTTAAAAAAAATTATGTTATTTTATTTTAATATTTTTTTAAATTTTTCTATAATTTGTTCCATGTTTTATCTAAATTTTGAACTTATTTTATAAATTCTAGATACTTACAGCTTATGCGCAGTAAATGAAACTTTTAATTTTTTTTTCCTCATCCCCCCCCCCTTTTTGTGTTTAGTTATTGTGTTATATTTATATATATATATATACATACTTACATACATACACACATTGGGTATCCCGCTTAAATATTGCTACTAACTTCTAGGAAACATTATAATGATAAAGAATTGTTTATAGTAACGCGTGACTGGAAAAGTCATCATACGCTGCTAGTACTTTTATTTATCTGAATTAACTTAATTTTATGTTTTCTAATAGTTATCCTCGAAAATTGAATTTAAATAGGTTCAGTATAGCTCTTTTATCGTAATTTAATTATTTGGCGGCTGACTTGAGAAGGTCGCCAAATCATTAAATTAAGATAAAACAGCTATTTCGGAGCCTATTTTCTATAGTATTTATTAGAAAAATATTTGCAAGAAATTTTGCAATTTTACACTAATAAAAGTACCGGTTTAAAGACACACGAACAATGTGTTCATATTAGTAAAGCTCCCCTAGCGGCATACGATGGGATGCCCGGTTATGAGTTTCCTTGAAATTCTTCATATTTTTAATGGGCCTTACTTCCCTTAAAAGCTTGTCGCAACCTTTATGATATAGATGGTTGTCGCATGGTTTTACAGTACTTGATAGAAAGGCCTTTGTAAAATTAAGATTCTAATTCATTAAATAAAATTACCTGTCAATTTGACCTGGTGGACTGCTATGCTGACTAGATGGGGATGTTTGAGAACTTGTTCCATGGGTTTCATTGGAATAAACAAGTCCTGCAAAAAATACCATTAATTATTGTTTGTTAAATAATTTTTTCTTGGTGTGTTGAATGAGTGAATAAATAAAAAAAAAGAACATTTACACGTGCGAAATGACGGAAATTATTTATAGATCACTTATCACAATAATATTGGCTTAAAGTGTAATAAAGATTAAAGAGTTATCAAGTTTTTTTGTTTGGTGTATTTCATGTTCGTCATAGCATGATAAACCGAGTGACTTTCAATCGTTGCCTTAATTCTTTCACATATCTTACAAGCTGTTAAATTTTTATTTGTTAAATATTGTATTTAAAAAGTATAAAAATAAATGTAACGCTATTGCTTGTGAATTTTAAATAAGTAGTACATGAGTAGCAGCTGTTTGTGACTATGTAATTTTTTATTACTTTCAATAAAAATAATGGAGAACGAGTAAGAATACAGAGAATATTATTAGTTTTAAAGTGGAGGCTAAAAAATTAGAACAAAAATAAATTATGCCGATTTCATAGTACATTAACTAAGGTGACCAAATGTCCCCAAATTTAACGAACAGTCCTCGAATTTCAGTGATTGTTCTCAGAAACTTTAAAACTCTTAGAGGGCAGAAAATGCCCCTAAATTTTAACATGTGTGTAATCTTAATAGAATAATACTAAGTTATGCTGCTTATAGATAACACGGAAACTTAAGAAGTTTTATATCCGTTGGAACAAATTGAACACACACGTGTAATAACACGTAAAAAGCACAAACACTCCCAGAAACTATATATACATTATATATAGATAAGAAAGCAATTAGAACAACAGCAAAATTATGAAGACATTTGAGCAATATGGAGTTAAAATGGAAGCATACAAGAAAACAAGTTATGAAATAACGTTTGAAGAATTACATGCATGAAATCTATGTTTTATTTACATGTCATACTTAATGATCTTATATTTTTAGATGTTATTTCGTGCTGAAGTTTGATAATTTTTCATCACCTTGTATGTGCATAAAAAAGTGTAAATTATAAAATGTTATAAAAACTAATTTTTGATGCCGGGGGAAAAATTGCATTTTTCGATTATAAAAAAACAGCAAAAAAATTAATGAAAAAGGCAGTTCCAGCTATAATTTATAGTAAGGACAAATAGTAGGTAGGGTAAATTTAATATGAATTGTCGAATCTATGTAAAATAAAGAAGAGTACTTATATGTAAATGTGTATGTACCTTAAACAAATATGCAATTCTGAACAAAACCGCACCAAATTTGCTGTATATACACTGTAAAATATGTGTTGTAATATCATCTCTCCGAATTCAATGGTTGAACAACCTTAGAAGTTGTGTGAAGGAACACTTTTCTTCACACCAAATCGAGAGTTCATATACAATTTAAAGGATTTATGAAAGCTCGAAACACCGAAAATGTAAAATTCTACACCGACATCATTTGCCTTTACACCATACGTTAATTATGTTTTCGATTTCGAAAACTCCAATTTTGGCTTGTTTTGATTTCATCTGTAATACATGTGTAAATAATCTGTTTATAATCGATAACGAGTTGACGAATGTTTGCGGTTGTTTTCAATAGTGCTTTTCATCTGCAGGATCTTAAGTTCGCCATTAAAAATATGTTTTATCTGTGTAATGTGCAATAATTATATTTTAATTTTCAAGTTTCTGTAAAGTGTGTAAAATAATTTCATTATGTATAATTTCTATCTGCTACTGCTCTGGTAAGCCTAATTCCAATCTGTCTCAATATTCTCTTCGCTATGCTTATGTTTGATTTACAAACTCATTTTATTTTAAGAATTAGTGTATGTATGTAACCTAAATTTCTGATACTTACTTTATATTGTCTCGTAAAAATACCATACCGTAATCTTACTGTAATTGCAGATTTTAGAGTAACTAAATATAACAAACATGATGGTTAGCGGCGGCTACTTTGCACCAAGTAGTGTAAAAGAACATGCGTTTCACAGCACCAAAAACATCTTTGGGCTGGGTTTTGGCGTCGTGGTAACTTTGGTGTATAGCTGTTGTTTCCATTTTTAGTGAAAAAAAATTCTAGACTAATTAATAAATTTTTTTGTCCACGTTGCGTTTGATCAACACTTTCTGTTATGCAAGAAGTACGTTCTGAAAAGCGTACTTTTAGAATTTCATATGCATATTTTCATATAAAAATATAATTATGTTATTATAAATGTATTTTAGTACGCAACTGTCTTTGTTTCCCCCAAATTAATTTGAAAAACGAATCAATTTATGTACCAGTTTTTATATTTTTTTAAAAAAGTACACAAGTAAAAAGTTTGTGCGATTGGGTTAAATTGTTGGAAGTTCTGTAAACTTGATACGTTGTCGTAGCTCCCTATTGAAATTTTAATAGTTGTGGGAAAACTTTTATATTTTGCATATACTTATCGATGGAAAGATTTACCTGGATCTGACCTGGAATTTTAATGTGTGTTAACTACAGCAAAAGTAATTATATTCAGTTTTAAAAATGCGAACAATGTTATTTTTAAAATACAGAGATGTCGAAAAATGAAATATTTTGTTGGATTTAAATTAAATTAAAATCTTTGTCTGTCAGTTTAAAGTAGAGAGCTAGCACATTATTTTTTTTTACACACATTAAAATTTAATATGATGCTGCGACCACTTTTAGAGCAGACAATCATATTTTTGTTTTTCAAGAATCAAATTGACTGTAACAATTCACTTTTTGCTATCAATTTATTGCTGTAAACCATTTTTATTAATTCCATTATGCACATGCTCGATACGAGCAGCTAACTATTAGGAGTGTTAAGTTATCCTATGCTCGATACACTATCTCTTTTTCAATTACTCTTAGCAAATTAATTTGATGAGTTCAGAACAATATAGTGGCATACCACACTTTTTCCAAAGATGATATTTTTTTTTTTAAAATAAAACTATCAAAACAAATCAATTACACAAACATATTAGTAAACAACTAGCACAAACATACTAGCAGGGGATGGACAAAATTATGGAAACACTTCTATACTAACTCATTTTTTCATATTTCTCAAGAAATACTTAAATATTTTATAAATTTAGAAGTCTAGATCATACGATTTCTCATATTTATAAATGAAGTTTGGAGGTTTAAGGGATTAGTTTTTCTTATAAAAATGTCCATATCTCCATAAATATTTAAGCTAGGCTTACGAAATTTTGCGCAATTATGGCATGTAATAGCCTAAGAAATTTTTACGAGTTACAAATTTATTGCTACATGTTTTGGTATAAGGTGATCAAAAACAATATTTACCGTTTGATCGTCTGTCCCTCAAACTTCTAAAAGCTTTAAATTTCATTGATAAGTATTAGAAATCTCATAACCTAAATATTTATAAAATGATTCTCTCGGTATTTTTTGAGAAAGCTCAAAAAATGTGTTAGAATAGAAGTGTTTTCATTACTTTGTCCAATCCCTGTATGAGAGCTATTAGTTATGCAACAAAATCATGGAGAAGTGACCTAATTTTTAGCAAATTCTTCCTTCTTAAACTGTCTTTCTAATACCTTTGTAAAATGTTTCCAAACATCCGTACAATTTGACAGCTATGCGTTAACTAAGAATCCGGTAAAAATCATTCATTATATTTTTTAACAACACTTATTTCTTAAATAATCTTTAAGATCCAATCATTCAGATTTGTATGAACTCTATCTTTTTGCAAAACAGAAATTTTTATTTTAGATGCATCCAAAGACAAAAAAAAAGAATCTTTAATAAGTTCAGTTTAATTAAAAAAAAAATGAATTTGAATACCCGGATAGTGGTCCGAGGAAGAACCGGGTTGAGAACTCCTTGGAGATCTACCTAAACCACTGTCTGTCCGTTCTGGTGGTGAAGCGTCATATACAGTCACTGGTTTAATAGAATGTATTACTAAACATTCATCCAAATCTTTTGGATCAAGTTCTTCAACTGTACTTCTGATCTAAAATAAAAATGAAAATACTTTGGATCATCATCCTATTGTAAAATGCTCTGTTTTAAATCGCGTGAAAATTCAATTACCCTGCCGAGTGAGAAGGACATAACACCTAACCATGGTAAAGGTGGACGAGGAAAAATAAACACGGAAATAGAACTATCTCGTTTAGTTTCAATTCGGGTTATTGAGCTGGAATTTTATTTAATTAAATATTTATTCAAATAAAATTAGATATTTTTTTTTAAATATTATAATTGTATATATAAGAATTGACGATTTACGACAAGGGAATTCTAACAAAATTTTAAGGAATAACTTAACTCAATTCCTCTGAAAGGAAATTTCCTTTTTAACAAAATGATTTGGATTCTTAAGCTGTTCTAAACAATACACTTATTATATTGTCAAGCAATAGCATACAAATAATAGTTTCACAGTTTTTTAAAATTTGTATTAAATCGAAATGTTTCATTATTTTCGTTAAAATTTTAAACTTATCAAAAGTTTACTCCTTGAGAGATAACTGTTAATCGATACATTATTTATTTGACGGAAAAAAAATTCGAACACCAAGAAGGAGTTGTGCTAGATAAACTAAATTTGTTAGGCTTCTTTATACAACTAAAAGATTATGTCAATTCAAATTTCGAGCTTGGTACATAAGTTTAACGCTAGTAGCGCTACTGTGAACATGCAAATCAGGGTTGCTTTAAATACGTGTTATACAGTTACATTTTGTACATTTTTGAATAATGAATATATTTTTGAATAACGAATCACTAAGGCCTCTGTATAGCTTTTCTAAAGTAAGAACTCCCCTAGCCATTCGTCTGGATCAGTAGCGGTGACTATGGTAACGAGATATAACTATTTCAAGTAGGGGTGTGGGGTCATTGCTTAGGAAAGGTTTTGGTTCCGGAAACTAACCTGTCCTCTGTTTGAAAATTCTGGAAGCTAACCTCTGCTGGAAAATGTCTGGCAATCACTCCCCCTACGCTTTTTAGACGACGAATGCTGGGTTGAATACTACTGGCCAAAGGTAGGCCAGCCATTCACTTTAGTGCAGTTGAAAGTGACTTAGACCCGGCACAGACCTGTCGCTTTAGCTGCTGGCAACCAGCAGTTTTGTGGTGCTGGACCTACAGATTTGTTTTTGCTGGGTTGTGTTTGCCCATGAGTGAAGAGAGGCTACGCTCCCTGAAATGTGCCATTCTTGTTTCCATAGCAACAAACGGCCTCAGACTTTGTAGCGAGGGGAGTTCTTACCGTAGGCAAACTGTAATTACGACGATCATTCATTTTGAAAATAAATAATGTGAACGAATAAGGGAATGACCGTCAGAGCGAGTATATGAATGGAACGAGGGAAGAAAGAAAATGAATCCGTGAATCGACTTATCAGTGAATTGGAGATTCATTTAGTAAACTAATAAATGTTTTAAAATGTGTAACTTGTGATGTGGCACTCAACAAACATAGTTTTTTTTAAATTGTTTTTTTAAAAATTAAACTTTTTTAAAAATTGAATAATTGGTTCCATTGTAAATGGCACTTCATTTTTTAAGTAATATAAACAATCGTTTTCTGTTTGTTTTGAAGATTGCATGATTCTTTTGTTTATCGACTATTACAAAGATACTCTAAATTATAATCAAGATATTCATGCCAACCATAATATATTAATTAATTATTTATTTATTTATTTGTTTTAGGAAGCAGCAGTAATTTTAATGTTGCTGAAAATGCTCAAATAATAAAAATTTGTGAAGATATTTACTTTTTTTCTGTCTGGTTCCTTTTTATCTGGATGACTTTTTTTCACATGCTTTCTCAGGGAACTTGGATCTGTATATCTCTTACCACACCCTGCAAATTGGCATACATAGGGTTTCTGAAAAAGAATATTTAACTGAAACTTCGAATAATTTTTTTATTTTTATTTTCATGAAAAAAATAACATTGATACTTTTATGAGAATACTCTGAAAAGCTATAGATCATTACAATTTAAAAGAATATTAGATTCATAAAATTGGCTGGTAAACATCAAGTGAAACTATATTTTATAAAGTCGTTGAATTTTAAAATGATAGATATAGGCTACGATATTTTACACGTAAAGTGCGCTACAAAAAAAAAGAGGGAACAACCTGAATTACTTTTGATCTTATGATCGGATCTTCACGTTCTAAAAAGTCGGAAATTCAATTTCACAAAAACTATACAACCGATTTCTTCTTTTTATATCGAATTATTTTTGAATAAACTGATTTTATAATTGTGTGAAAAATGGTTTTTCGCATAAAAATGTCTCGAGATCTGGCGAAATACGCAAAAAGTAAAATTAACATTAAGGGGTCCAAGCTTCGGATCTCTCCTTGACCAAACTATAAGGACCATATTTCCAAGGTTACGGCTACCTCCTTTTTTTTGGGGGGGGGGGGNTTTTTTTTGGGGGGGGGGGTCAGAAATCCGAAACCATGGAAAAAGGTATGTTTATTCAGATAAAGTACGTTTTGTGTCTGATTTCGAAACTTAAAATATCGTCTGCACTAATTAATTAATATATTTGAGGTCACCCCCTGAACCATTAAGATTGATTCCTAGAACGTAAAGATCCAAGCATTAGATCAAAAGTTATTCAGGGTTGTCTGCTTTTTTTTTTTTTTTTTTGGTTCACTGTAAAGTGCACAAAATAAAAAAGCGCATCTCTAGATCTGGCAATTACTCTCCAGTTCTGAACCCTAAATGTTCTCAACACAACTTTTGATCTAATGATATATGATATGTTACACAATAACATACATTTTTCAATTGTAATGGTTCAAGGAGCTAATCATAAATTTGCTAAATAATTTGAGCTGGCGAAATTTTAAGTTATGGATTCTTTTTTAATTTTGAAACGTTATTTTCCTAGGAGAATTCACACCGAATGCGATTGCAGCACCTCCAATCGTTATCGTCGGGGTAATATGAGGCTCAATTGGTGAAAAATATTTTTCCGCAAAAAAATCACCATTCAGGTTTCCTTTTTCTCTCGGCGGTAATCTGAAGTGCGGAAACCGCATTCGATGTAAACATCTCAGACTGTACCTTTTTTTACTCAATGAATTCGGATTCTGGACTCTCACAATTCGGAGATAACCGCAAACTGGAAAATATGCTCACGATAGTAAAATCAGGAAAGTGGATTTGAATCCCTTAACCCATTGGATCCAATAACCACAAATTTTTTCCTACAAAATTCTAAATCTTGTTTATTTAAAGATAATTTTATCCAAAATTGATTTTTTCAATATTATTTATTGTTTTTAGTGTATAATTTATTGATGGTCGAAAAAATTTTGAATAGTAAGGTTTAGAACATTTTATTTGGCATTAAATTGTGGTGGTTTCAAGTGGTAAGTAGCGAAATTTGAGCAAATCGGCCGAGTAAAAACAAAATCTCATCTTTAGAATTTCATTTTTCCAAAATTATTGGACTGATTTCATTTAAATTTTGCAGCTTGTCTTTTAAAATTGTGCCACAAAAGTTTTACGTAATATAATAATTCGTATACCTTGCACTTTAAATTTTTTTTTTTACCATAAGTAAATTAAATAATAAAAAGCAATAAATAATTATTAAAAATAGTTTTTTTTACATCGAATTATCTTTAAATAAATGAGTTTTATAATTGCATGCAATAATTTTTGATTCCCGTAAATAGTTCCAAGGACATGGCGAAATAAACAAAAAAAATGAAATTAACATTTAGGAATCTTTCAACCGCTTCTTCTTCAGTGATTTGACAGCCCTGGGTAAGCCCTGGCCTTCTCCAGAAGTTTTCACCAGGCATCTCTAGATCTGGCGATAACTCTCCAGTTCTGAACCCTAAGAATGCTTAGGTCATTATCAACACAGTCGATCCATTTTAGTGGAGGTCTATCTTTTTCCTAAGGGCTTTATCTAAAAGACTTTCTTACATCGATTTCTATGCATTATTGCCAGTTGGCCAGCCAATTTAACACACTGGATTTTGATGAATATTACAACATCAAGTTATTTTAAAACATTGTAAAGTTCTAAATTACTTCTTCTTCTCCATGAACCATTTACTTGAACCCCTCCAAGTATACTTCTTAAACTATTTCTCTAAATAGTCTCCAAAGTCGATGCCATATATATGTAAAGATAGATCTTACAAGACTCTTGTGAACAAGCAGTTTAGTTCTCAGCTTAATAAAGTCAGATTTTAGAAATTCCTTCAGACCATAAAAACATTTATTGGCGAGTGTAATTCTTTTTGTATATTTCAGGGTTTGTTGTTGTTTTTAATTTATACTTAATAAAGAAAACTGTTAACCTTTTCCAATTCTTAAGCTTCAATTTCTAAATGAGTAATTTTCTGAATTTGTAAACACGTCAAATATTTTGTTTTACTTTTATTTACTAACACATTAATTATTGAATTTGGCTCCAAGATCGTAAAAGCTTGTTTAAGAGCCACCGTGGTCCGGACCACTAAGCAACTGTCATCCGCAAAGGCCAAAATATGAACAGATTTATTAAAAATAGTGGCATTGATCCCTGAATCTTCAATTACTTTTTGAATTGCTACATTAAATAAGGGACAAACCAGTATGTCCTTCAGTCCCACTCTGTTTTTTACCACAAGCTGTTCAGTGAAGTCTCCCTGTTATGTGTCATATTTTCCTTAGGAGTCAAGGCTGTAAGGGCAACAAGTTTTAGTCAGACTGATTCTGTTAAAGCTTATTGTAATAAACCTTTGATAAGGTTATTTACAATGAGCTTCCCCTGTTCTGGACTCATTGCAAGGTGTCTGAAATAAATAAGTCTGATATATTTTCTAATAGATCTAAAAAGGTATTCGGGTTCGTTGCAATAAGTCTAAAAACTTTCAGGCTGATTTTAATCTGCTACAGATTTTTCCAATCAGCCTGGTTCGTAACAAAATGACAATGGGTGTTTGTAAAGAACCGGATTATTCATTTAGCCAATGATATACATAAATTTTGTCAATATTGTTTTTTTTTTTTAAAAAAGAACAAATAATAAATTTACTAATATAAGACCTTTCTAGCACTTACTGTTTCATGGTGAGTTTTTTGATGTTTGGTTCTATCTGAGGAATTGCTAAATGTCTTGATACATCCCGGGAACGTACATGAATACGGTCTCTCCCCCGTGTGAGATCTAAGATGTATCTTTAGATTTTCGAGTCGGGAAAAGGCTTTACTGCATCCGGCGTACTAGAATAATCAGTACTGAAATTTAATTATACTCGAATGTTAGATTTTAGAAAATATTACAAATTTACTTACAACAACCTATTAACAACTCTAAAGAACCCATTTACGTGTTCTAATACAATAAACAATACGTTATATTATAATACAATACAATGTGCTCTAATACTCTTTATAATAAACATTTATGGTGGTCTTAACAAAAGTATTTTGTATGAGTTTTAATTTAAAATAGGGCAGAGAGGGGCTAGTATAGACATTTCTTACAAGTTTATCGAAAAACTTATTAAATATAATTTTTTACTTGTGAAGTATTTTTTTAACAGTAATTCTTGTTTTCAAAATAAAATTTTTTGCTTATTTATAAACTTAATAAGTTGTTCAGTTTTACCATTTTTTTAAACAAAGCTTTTTTTTGTTACAATTTAAAAATGAAAAAAAAAAAACGAAAAGAACTAAAGTCGCCAACACTTATAAATGAAAAAGTCACTTAAAGCATGTTCACCCTAGCCCCAGCCCTACCACCATGTTTCTACATACGTATGTTCATGCCTAATTCTGATTAATAGATACTATACTGAGCAAAAATTAATTTGGAATACGTAAAAAACAATATTAATAATAACATATATTATGCCCTAAATATTCAGAAAATAAAATGCGTTAATAAAATAGTGAAGAGAAAATGTGAAAGTTACTTTTCCACCTTAAAAATCTTCTTTCACAGATTTCTGCAAAAAAGTACTCACAATGTACTTATGCTACTGCACATGGAAAATATACACCAGTGTTGCCAATGTACGATATCTCACAGTAACAATTTGATCAATAACCAAAAAAATTATTCAAGATGTTCCCATTAGCCCCTCTCACCCCTGTACAAATTTTTATGGCGTGAAAAGGAAGTTTTTTTTATTAACATATTTAAATGTAAAAGTACAAATTTTAATTGAAAAAAAAAATAGGCATAATCAGCATATCACGAGAAATCCTATATTACGACAGGTTTCCAGGTTACTATCAAAATGCTTGAGTACAATAAACAAAAAATGTATGTTCATAACAAGTCAAATATAGCTAGTCTTTCACTGTAGCGAATTTTTAAAAAAAAAATTTTTTTAGGGAGATTTATTTCCCCCCCCCCTTTTTTTTTGCTTCTTAAATGAGAAATATTAAACGGAAACAGGGCAAGATATTGGACATTATTATTTATAGTTGTTGTTTCTAATGCGACTTGCCACCAGGGCAAGCCTGCTTGGTGAAACCGAACAAATTTAAGGCATGGTGTGCGTTTCTTGTTTTTTAGTGGCGCCATCTATGGCCAAGAATTCGACTTCTGCCACACCCATACGTCACNTCTCTCCCCCGTGTGAGATCTAAGATGTATCTTTAGATTTTCGAGTCGGGAAAAGGCTTTACTGCATCCGGCGTACTAGAATAATCAGTACTGAAATTTAATTATACTCGAATGTTAGATTTTAGAAAATATTTCAAATTTACTTACAACAACCTATCAACAACTCAAGAGAACCCATTTACGTGTTCTAATACAATAAACAATACGTTATATTATAATACAATACAATGTGCTCTAATACTCTTTATAATAAACATTTATGGTGGTCTTAACAAAAGTATTTTGTATGAGTTTTAATTTAAAATAGGGCAGAGAGGGGCTAGTATAGACATTTCTTAAAAGTTTATCGAAAAACTTATTAAATATAATTTTTTACTTGTGAAGTATTTTTTTTTAACAGTAATTCTTGTTTTCAAAATAAACATTTTTGCTTATTTATAAACTTAATAAGTTGTTCAGTTTTACCATTTTTTTAAACAAAGTTTTTTTTTGTTGCAATTTAAAAACGAAAAAAAAAGAAAAGAACTAAAGTCGCCAACACTTATAAATGAAAAAAAAATCACTTAAAGCATGTTCATCCTAACCCCAGTCCCACCACCATGTTTCTACATGTGTACGTTCATGCCTAATTCTGATTAATAGTAACTATACTGAGCAAAAAATTAATTTTGAAATACGCAAAAAACAATGTCATTAACAACATATTATGCCCTAAATATTCAGAAAATAAAATGTGTTAATAAAATAGTAAAGAGAAAATTTGAAAGTTACTTTTCCACCTTAAAAATCTTCTTTCACAGATTTCTGCAAAAAGTACTCACAGTGTTCTTATGCTACTGCGCATGGAAAATATACACCAGTGTTGCATGAAAAATGAATATACGATATCTCACAGAAGCAATTTGATCAATTACCAAAAAAATTATTCAAGATGTCCACACTAGCCCCTCTCATCCCTGTGCAAATTTTTACGGCGTAAAAATGAAGTTTTTTTTTTATTAACGTATTTAAATGTTAAAGTACAAATTTCAATTGAAAAAAATAGGCATAATCAGCATATCACGAGAAATCCAATATTACGAAAGGTTTCCAGGTTACTATCAAAATGCTTGAATACAATAAACAAAAAATTTATGTTAATAACAAGTCAAATATAGCTAGTCTTTCTCTGTAGCGAATTTTTTTTTTTTAAGGGAGATTTTTTTCCTCCTTTTTTTTGCTGCTTAAATGAGAAATATTAAACGGAAACAGGGCAAGATATTGGACATTATTATTTATAGTTGTTGTTTCTAATGCTACTTGCCACACGGGCAAGCTTGCTTGGTGAAACCGAGCAAATTTAAGGCATAGTGTGCGTTTCTTGTTTTTCAGTGGCGCCATCTATGGCCAAGAATTCGACTTCTGCCACACCATACATCGCACCCGTTTATAGTTCGGACCCATTCATACATCCATTCATTCATCCACAGATCGTAATTTTGACATGAATCAGAGAACGATCGATCTCCAATCCAGTACCCCCAGAGGTATTGATTTGTTACGGGAACATGGAGGACCCCCAGAGCATTTATAGTTGTTATCAATACAAAAAAGCGAAAATGAAACGGCACTTTACCTATTTTCTACTTAGATTCTTAATCCATCTATCCCCGCATGCTTGTTTATAAAAAAAAAAAAAAAAAAAAAAAACACGTGGGTGACCACTGCCTGAAGTATATCCCCCCAACAAAAGAATAATTTTTTTAAAATTTTTAGCACATATCTACCTTCCTTTTGTTCTTCTTATTTTAGTAGATTTCTGTTGAAATTAATATTCAGAGTAACTATAACATTCGAGTTTTTCTTATTTCTATTTTAACTCATTAAATATGTCGATATACTTATTACGAAAAGCTCATTATAACGACAATTTCACCGCTAAAGTGAAACTTCATTACAACAGAATTCTACTCCATCCTCCCTTTATTTTTATTTTTTGAGGTCTCTTTTTGCTGCTTCTATTACAATAAGCTGCGCACTATTATGTTCATGGCTTTATGCAATCAATCTACACTGTGAAAAATTCCGACTGAACTTTAACATCCGTAAAATTCATTTTTATACATAGTAATATCTATTTGATTATAATGATTACGGGGGTTCAAAGTCTTTACAGTTAATATCGATGTGTGTGAAATTTACGGTATATCAGATTTTTCGTTGCTGAAAATTTTACGGTAAAATAGGATAATCGTACATATTTAATAATATCATAAATGCTCTTGAGTCTTATAATCAAGACTCAGGATTTTTTTCATTTCTTCATTCATATCAAAGCCGATTCTATAGTAAATGATCTCATCTTTGCCCTTCTCCTGAATTGATCTTAGACGTTCCATAGTTAGTGAATCGAAAACATGTAATGACCATGGGAATACCGCAATCTTATGTTTATATAACAAGGCTTAAAATCGGTTGAAACATGCATGAATATTATCTAAATATACGGTTGTATTGAGTATTATCTAAATATACAATTGAATAGTATTCAATATACAGTTGTCACAAAGTATTGAAGGGATAGTGTATTTTTAAAGAATTTTTCTATGGCGAAATTTAATAACTTATTTATAGAAAATGAACAAATATTGAAAATAAACTTCTACTGATATTTGAAAAATTATTATTATGTTGATTTTAAATCAAATGTTTCTCATAAACTTTAATAAAATTATGAAAAGGAAGAAAAAAAATCCGATTTGAATGATATAAAATAGCACGCATAAATAATCCATACAAGAAAAAGATATTAGGATCAAAATGCATTCCAGTTGTACTGAGTAATTTTTTTAAATTTTTTAATTGTAGTGTATTTCGTAAATAAATGTTAAAATAAAAGCTCAATTATTTCTTCCCACCCCCCTACATAATACACCCGACTGTGTCTAATGTAGTTGATAATGTGTGTGAAAGATAAATAAATTTCTTTCAATCAAATCAATTTTCTAAATCTTATTTCTAAATCAATTTTCTAAATCAATTTTCTAAATCTTAAAAATACTGTAAAGCAGTTACTGGTAGTGAATTTTTTGGATATTTTTTAAAAAATTTCACACTTAAGATCTATGAAACAATGTATTGTTTACAATAACATTTCTTTAAAACATGTTTCATTAAAATAATTTTTGATATATATTTTAAGGCTCAGTTATGATACATTCCTAAGCAAATAGGCTTAACGTTGAACCATAATTATCGGTATCATGAACCATATTATAATGCAAATTGTTTGCCACCTTAGTGAGGTATTAAATTAAACCCTGTCTTCGTTCAAGTTACACTATAATATCTTCTAATCAAGGTTATGAAGCACAAATATTGTTCAACTATTAAAATTACAGGAAAATTGAATGATATTATGACTTAACACATTTCAAAATTTGTAACAGAATTATTCGAATAATTCTGTTTCATCAAAATATATTTTTGTGTGAACAAATTAATTAAATGGCATTGAACAAATGTAACAGTCATAAATATGTATTTTTATAAGCAATTAAGAAGCCCAGGTGCAAAGCCTACTGACTGAATTAAAAATAAATAAGAAAGGAAATTAATAGATCTTTTTAGAAGAATAAATTGTGTCATAGTTAAGTTTTCTTTTATGAACTTTAATATGACTTTGCTATTTGTTTAATTTTCAGTTATAATTTTATAAAAGAAACAGTCAGCTATATACTGCATTCTGAAATCATTCGCATGTCTCATCTAGAGGTCAGTTAAGAAATTTAGCATATTCATCTTTAAACATTGCATAAGGATTTGCATTTTGTAAAAATATACTATTTTACAGATACAACTTACCGTACATTTATTAGGCTTATCACCAGAATGTATCCTCATGTGTACTAATAATTTATAGCGTGCATTGAATGGATGTAGTCGACGAGGACACAACTTCCAAAAACAGACAAAGTCATCTCCTCTCTTTTGGTCAACGTGTATCTTTTCGATGTGCGCTACAAATTCGTCTTGGTCCTGAAACACGGCTGTGCAATCCAACCATCGACAAGCATACATTCTGTTTGATTCAGTGTCTGTACCACTGCTCCCTGCTACCGTTTTATCTCCCTCGGAGCTTTCGAAACTAGATGAATTCGAATTCGACGGTTGACTACTATCCGAAGAGCTAGTTTTTTGCAAAATCGCCTTCCTTGCCATATGTTGATCATATGTCGGAGGAGGCTTTGTAGGTGGTACAATTGCTTGTGGCTGAAAACAATGCAGCTGAGTTGGTAAATTAGCATGGACAGGTGGAAGAACAGACGGAATATAAGGAATGTACTCCTCTGTACTAAAAGCAGCGAGATCTTGTGGCAATACATGGAGATTCTCAAACTCAGGGGCTAGCGAAGAGTTAGAAATGACATTGGGATTAAAAGCTGTTGGAATATTTAGGAGACCAGCTCCAGAATCAAAGTCTTGCATTGCCTGCATTACGAATAAATTATCTAAGTTCATCAAATCGTTGTTCTTTAGAGTGTCATTATTATTACAGTTGGAAATGTTACTATTATCACTAGGGATATTGGACGAATTGTTATTACCAGGTGTACTTGTTTGTGGCGTGAAAGATGCACTCCTTCTATTTCCAGAAGAACCGGAGTGGGGACTAGAGCTACTGTTCCTGGCCGACAAGTGACCATAGCACCCAGTTTTATCCCCGTAAGAACCAGGTGACACACAAGAGGAAGAGCTTCTAGAACCATTGAGGTAAGCGTTTAAAGAGGTGGGTGACATTCTAATAATGGTGTTTATGTCAATTCCCTCTGCGGATAGAGGGGAATTCGACAATGCTCTTTTGTTTCTAGAGCGGCTTGAATAAGAAGATCTAGCAGAGTAACGCGGGCTTGTAAATGCAGATGGAATAGCCTCAGAGAAATTTGTAGAAAGTGGAGTGAACGTGTTGTAATAAATACCCATTTGAGAGGCAGTTTGTGCGTTTGTGACTGATGTGAAACTCATGAGGGAAGCAGTATCACTATCACTAAATCCACCTCCAGATGGAGTTACACTGGGAATCACTGGAGGTAAAACTGAAAACCGTCCCCAAAGCGGATCCATTTTGGCCTGATACGAAGTATTTGAATAATTGTTGGAAGCAGGTGTTACAGTACTTACGGTTGACGTAATAGCCTGAACTGGCGAAGAGGGGAAACCCTGTCCAACAACTGGTTGCGGTGATATAAACATTGATAGTTCATTTAACATGTTTGAAACATTGGACGACTGATTCAATGTTTCAAATGGTTTCGATGACACACTACTTGCAGATGAATTATATGGTTCTTGTTTTAAAAAATTATTTATTGGATCATTCAAGCATTCTTGGCGATTCATTTCTTGATTTCTTGAAGATGCAGGCACAGAAACAGTTCGTTGGTCTGATGATAGTTGCTGATTAGTTTGAGCGTGTAAGTTATCGACTTCTCTAATTCTTTCTTTGAGGGTTGTATGAACATTTGGATTAGATTGCAAAGTCGTATAAAGTTCTTGGGGTAAATTAAAATTATCAGTAAAATATGGATTATTTTGAGACACTTCATTGGACTGTGATGTAATATGAGGTTTAGTATCGGGATTAACAAATTGATTTGAATTCCCTCCATTAGCAGAGGGTCTTCCTATAGCGATTCCTGTGCCATCATTTCCATCTATAAAAAAAGTGATTATTATTATTATTATTATCATAGGAAAATAACTTGTTTTATGGATAAAAATTAAAGCATTGTGTGTTTTAAATATCATCATAATTTTATAACATTCTAGCAGTTTTTTTTTCTTAAAAGAAGACTGTTTTTCTTCAAGCCCCAGTGGTTAAGGCATCAAACTGTCATTGTGAAGAACTAGTGTTCGATCCGTAGTATCTGCTTGAATTCCAAATAGCTTCAGATCAATGGGTACCTGCTTGTCTGGGAAGTAAAGGTGGCCAGTGCGCAGTGCTGACTACATTGTCACAACCATGCCATTAGTCACGAGGTTTACAACGGGCTAAGGTGGTATTGCTTTACTGTAATCTTTTTCGAAGCTATTTTTTCTACTTCCGAACCGATAGGAGGATTCATATGCATTGCACCAATCAGATCCTCAATTCCCTTCATAGCTTCAATAGCCTTGTAATTTTGTATCCGATGAAGAAGACAATGGAACTCCTGGATCAAGTATTGGGTGAAATTTGTCTTCGTTGAGGGCTTTCCGATGGAACTAATCCAGTAGAGTAGTGAAAATGTTTGGTAATTATAGTATGTGCGATGCGAATTTGATTGTACAAGAGGATTATGTACAGCAGTAACAAAAATGGATGATAGGTCAAATTATATCAATGATTGAAAATTGCATAGAAACCTCTAGCCGGAAATGCAGATAGGGGAGCGTTCCTGTTATTGACTATCTGTTCACGGGCCTTTAAACTGGTACTTTTTATCTAAATTATCTTAATTTTATATGAACTTTGTTGAAAATTGCATTCAAGTAGGCTTCTTGTTTGCTTTTTTTACCTGCAGGCTTAGAAATAGATGATTTTAACTTGATCTAACTAATAGGCAACCAACTTGACAGATTCATTAATTTATCAAATTACAATAAAACAGCTTATATAATAATATAAATAGAAAACACAAAAGTAACGCAAAATTAATAAAATGTAGATTAGTAAAATGACCAGTTCTAAGGCAGGACAAGAGTAGGAAGTCTATAATAAGGAAGTGTTCCTAGCTGTGTACGACGATGGTATTTCCGGCTATGGGTTTCTATGCTGTTCTCACTCCTTATGCTGTGCCCTTACCTCCCCCCTAACTTATAACTGCTGCATTAATTGCCTAGTAGGTTAATTCAGCAAAGGAGTTGTATGTTTTTAAAAATTTATTTACTTACAAAATATCGAGGATATTGAAAACATTTACCTTTCGATATTGGCATGAAATATCCTAACATCATATTTTCATACGCCATTTTCATATCCAAGTTGTTTGAATAGGGCTCTCTACTCGTATTTTTATCTGTTCTTCTTTCTTGTGCAACAGGTACCGAATCTTGTGGTAAACCGTGTGGTGGCATTGTAGTAGGAGTTTGTTGTGAGTAATGATCTGATGACTTACTTATTGGAATTGGTGGTAGTTTAAAAGTAGGGGACGTTGCGCAGCTCCTGATTGTTTTTGCCTCTCGAAAAGAAGTTGGGTGATGAGATAACTAATGAATAAAAAAATTGAATTGATATTAGTTAATAAGTAAAGAGCCGTTCTCGCTTTATGCGAAAAATTCGCATACGCAAGTAAAATCTGATCAGCGAATTTTTCGCATGCGCTGAGAAGGGCCCCTTACTACGTTTATGAACATGAATAAGCATTACATTTAGGCAAAATCCCATGCATAAACGAAACATTATAACATCACGAATTATATTTTAGGAATAACTGGTATTTTATATTATTTTTAGTTATAAGGATGCATTGAGCAAGAAGTATTTAATTTAGCATTTTCTCATATTCATTACCTTTTAAAACGTTATCTATAATTTTGAGGAAACATTGTATATTTTTGTTTAAAAGTTACGAAGCATCATGGAATTAAGTAAGTGAGAACTATTTGTTTTATAATCTTAATACTACTATTTTTATAAAATGCAAAAATGTGGGGTGGCTGTCGCAAAAGCATGAAAATGTCTTTGCTTGTTTCAACTGTTTTGTTGACTTTGGAAACTCAGAAAATTTAAACACGGGTCTGTATATTGTTTTCGATTATAAATATATCCCTTCCAACTGCTTCGATTTTCGTAGTATCTGAAAATATTTTTCTAGTGGTAAAAATGGTAACGGATTGATATTTTATGAAATTAAAAGAATTTTGTCCTCCATTACATGTCCCACAGTGGATTGATACTAAAGACACGGTTCCCAGTAGAACACCGAAGTCAAGCATCACTGGCTGCGGTCAGTAAGCGGGTGGGTAATCACTTTGATCAGCCTGCGTAGGGACCGAGGGTACGCGATAGTGGTCCTTGTTAAACTGTTCTACCGTAAAGTACTCAACTTTGTCGGGCTGCCAAAGCAGGAGAGCCATCTCCTCTGCAGAGGATCGAAATTGCGATGGTACGTCTTCGGATCACCCTCAGGGATGTTTCCCTGACCGTCGCAAATAGCCTATTGCGCAGCTCTAGTGTGACGTAAATTAAGCACTTAGCTATCTACCACCATTTGATTTTGAAAAAACCAATATATAACACCCCTCTGTACAATAGGGCCGAAACTAAAAAAAAATCAATTAATTTTTATTGTAGCATTTATGTTTGTGACTGCGTATTCTCCTTAGTGCAACCTATAATCTGAAATTCATTTTTAAATTATTGAGAATTATGAAATTGTGATAAATTAGCCAGTAATGTTTTTAAATGCCTGATCAGTTAAATAAACCTGTTTTAAGTTGTAGCACTGAGGATATGATATATTGGGAGTACAAATTAGTTCGGTCCTTTTTTTGTAGTCAAAAATGCATTTGTTTTTGAACAAAATGAATGAAAAGATTAATCAAAGTATTGTTCATCATCTATACTTTTCCCCACCTCTCTTGCAATTTTCGAATTCCATCTCGAAAAAATGTCGCGTCTTTTGAGACGATCCAAGTTAGGGGCCAATTTTCGATTTCTGCAAAAGAAGTAAACCGGTGATCTGCCAAATCATGCTGCCTCCATCGGAACAACCAGTAATCAGAAAGAGCAATGTCCGGTGAATATGGCGGTTGTGGTAAAATATCCCACTTAGGAATTTTCAAATAATTTTTTACGACATGAGGCCGACCGTTATCATGCAGAAGAATAACTTTGTCATGTCTTTGCTCGTATTCCAGCCGTTTTTCTCTTAATGCACGGCTCAAACGAATCAATTGTAGCCTATACCGATCGCCCGTAATGGAATCGCCAGGTTGTAGCAGCTCATAGTATACAACACCATTCACCATTCTTTTTTCACCATTCTTGAAATTTCGAAACCATTCCCTACATGAATTATCAGTTGGAGCATTGTCACCATAAGCTTCTACAAGTATTCGATGCGCTTCAGCTGCACTTTTCTTGCAATTAAAGCAGAAGCATAAAAACTCCCGCAAATGCTGCTTAGTTACCACAAAATTTGATATATTCAACAAAGTAAAAAACAAGGTTTTTTGTATGAAACTCAAAGCGATATAAACTGAATATTATTTTTGCAGGTGTCCAACCTCTCTGAAACCACCGAAACCAGCTGTCACTATGAAACATTCATAACAGCCAGAGTCGTCTTTTGAAAACAGACCGAACTAATTTGTACTCCCAATATGTGCATTAAGCAATAGAATCATATAATACTTGAATAAAATTGCGAATTATATGCCATCCTACCTGGAATGAAGTTTGTGCCCTTTCTTCTAAGTTGTTGGTTAAAAACCTGTTTGATTGCGAATTTTGAGATCGATGATGACTTGCTAGTGGTATTAGAGGTAATGATGCATCATTATAAAATGGTGGAATGTTTTGAATTGGAGCTTGGGCTGTGTTTCTATTTTGATGGGCTGCCAATGAATAGTTTCCTTGTGCTACATTTCTATGTTCTTTTTCTTCATAGTCAGTCAATCTTCCCATCATTCTAAACAAAGAAAATTAAAATAAAACTAATATTTTTGTGGTCAACGATTGACGAATATCTAAAAGAAGTCAATAACTCAGAAAACATTATAGTCATTAGACGTTAGTTATTCTACAGGGAGAAAATGTAGTCATTATTTAAGTTACTATCATTATATTTAGATTAAAGTTACTTAAATCATATCACTTTTCATGTTTTTATCAGTTACGAATCACAGACAATCACATATAAAATATTCTAATAATGAAAAGTAAGTACTGAAAATTAATTGTTTTTACTAGGTCTACAATTAGTTCGATTTAGGAAATCGGTTGTCGATTTCGTGCCACCTGCTTCTAAAAGCGTACCAGGTTCAAAAATATTGAGTATTCATGATTAAGTAAATAAGACGACAAATGGTATGATAAGAAATACTTTTGAACTGTTACAAGTATAGAAACAGTCTTACAAGCTTATGAAATGTTGATGGAGCATGATGTTATGTGCTACAAAATTCAAGCATGAAGTGCTGCCTGTTAATATTGCAACTTTTTAGCATTTATAATAAGTTTTTTTCTTCTTAAGGATAAAATTTAATAATAAGTTTTTAAAAACAAAAAATATATATTTTATGGTATAAATTTTGCTACCACTTTAAAATTTTGGTTGACCTTTGGGAACCCTGGATTGAGAACTGTATCGGTAAGATTCAGGCTACTACACAACGTTTTTAGTGAAACGTTTATCCAAGCATCAAATAACAGTTAGCTAGCAAAGAAACAAGTACACTCACGGGAATAAATTAAGGATAATTGAGAATTATACGGAATTTGAATTTTATAGTAAAAAATTCACCAGTAGAAACAAACTAACGTCTGTACAAACATCTTCAAACATAATATGCAAATTACAGAAAGTCACCAGATGATGCCGATAGTACGTCACAAAGACGAGAGTGTTAGCTGGAAGTATGTAAGAAATGGTGACAAAGAAGTAAAATTTTTCACAAGCATTCTGTAAGTCACCCAGTAGGTACCCTAACCTAATAGTCATGAGACAGATAAGCGCATGCGGGTGATTTTTTACTTGGTAGAATTATCAGCCGCTTGGAATGTGATCATACTCTGATGGAAGTATCCGAGAAACTTGGAAATGTCCAAAGAATCATCGTTAGGTTTTGGCAATGATTCCAAAATGAATAAATGGCAGTACAGTACAGAAATAACATGTTCTAATAATAACATGTATGTTTGTTTTGGGATGCCATGGGCATAGAGTTTGTGTTTATGGATGAGAACACCCATCCTCACCTAGCAAACATCGTAAACCATAGAGGCGATATAAATATACCACCTCTATGTCGTAAACAAATGCCTTAAATCTGAGGATATGACCTGCACAGAATAGCCAGTTTTCTCACTTGACTTGAATCTGATAAAGCATTGTGGGCCATACTTGGCCGGCGATTTATTTATTAGATTTTTCATTATCACTCCAGTGTGCATAACTTGTAGTTTTTATGAATGATATCAAACATACACCATCTTTTTTTGTTCTTTATCTTTCGTTTAAAAAATTGGTTTTATGAATAAGCCACGTTTGTTTTGTTACTGAAACTTATTCTGAACTTTACCAGATCCGGCATTATCCTTAATTATGAATGTAGGATATAACAGAATAAGATGCTTAATAATCATATGAAGTATTTAATAATTTATCTATTACAGTTATGTTATATCCTTACACAGCAAGTAAAAAAAAAACTTGTAGAACTGATAAACTGAAATAAAAACTTAACACAAGTACACAGCGACTTGATTCTTTCGCAAGGATCGTCATGTGAAAAAAAGCTTCCTAATTTATCAGCTAGAGCACTCTCTGAAAAAAGGGGAGGTACAATTTAAGTAACTTTTCTATATTTTTGCTCAGAAATAATAAACAACTTTATGCTCTCTTTATGCTTAAAAAATTAATTACTTATATAACGTATATTTTTTAAATTTTTTTTTGTTATAATTTGTTTCTCAATTATTATTGCTCATAAAATAAGTTTTAATGTATATAATTTTCTGACGCCTGGACAGGAATAATTGTTTGGTGATAAACAGGTTTTATTATCTTTTTATAACTCTTTGTACATTTATTATCCTCTCTAGCAAGTACACGTTTATGCAATAAATACTCTGAAACGAATAAACTACGACACTCATATTTTTCCCAATTATGCTACCTTTGGTCTCTATGATAAAGCAGGAATTCTAGAAACTGGTAGCAAAAGCATTTCATTTCTATATCTCAAGTATTTTATCAGTGTTTAACACAACTTATTAACAGTTATATGATTTGTATTTATATACAAGAGAAATCTCAGTACTGTGACTTCTTATATAGTAACTATACAGTAAAATCTAAGTTGATTAAACATTCGCGTTTGAGACGTAGTAAATGCACATTAACCCTTCGACGCACATGGGACACCAGTGCTCATTTTATATATGTATTTTTTCTAACGCTGAAATTACAAGCAAAGATATATTTTGATGCTCTTTAATTATAAAAAACATTCTAATAGTTACTAAAAAATTTTGTTCATTGGAAGTATATTTCTACTAAAATATAAAATAAAAAAAAGTAGTTTTAATTTTTTTCTCATTTATATTCAAAAATTTATCAATAATTGTTTTTGTCAAGTAGGGAAATTTCATTGATGAATAACCATTTCTCTTAGATTTAAATTACAACAAAAAAAAGTGCAAATTTGAAAAAATGTATTATTTGGAAGTGAGCCGTGTTTGGAATATTTTATCCATAATGCAGAAAAAGACACTGACGTTTCATGCTGTATTTTATAACCATAAATTATTAAAATGCTAAATATAATATTTCTCACTTATTTTGACTAAAATTAATAAAAAATAATAAAAAATATGTTCAATAAAATTCTGTGTCAAAGGGTTAACGCCAGGAGAAATGTTTAATACCACTTTGTTTTCAGAATAGGCAGAACAAAATTTTCTGACACATTTTTATTTTCAAAACAGAATTTAGTGATGAGGGTGATCACAGCTGTATTAAAGGATCCAGGTTTTCTCTTTTTCATTACTGCTATTACATCTTTTTAAAGCCAAACGAGAACGGTGTTAAGTTTTGACTTTCCCTTGCTATAAACAATCAATTACTTTTCAAGGATAAGAAACGAAGCGTTGGCATCGCAGTCAATTTGAACAACAAAATAGCTATTGAATAATCTCAAATAATGTTGTATCAACCTTGCATGATATGTATAAAAATAATTTAAATTCACATATATTTTTAATGCATGGAATGAAGTTAGGTAATACATTCGATTGAAGTTTGTGTTTAATGCCCTTGAGAATGAAAGAATATCTTTTGGACACTGCTCAAAACATTTTGTTCTAAATTTGTACGAAGGAAGTGGGAGTTTTTCCTTCCTCATTTACGTTTTCCAATTGCGTAATTGTTATACTTTTATATCAAACTATGAATGAGGTATACCGTAAACTGTCTCATTCTAAAATTTCTGAAAGAAAAGCAAAAGGTTATCTGAAGTGGCAGGACGAGAAACTAACTCTTTCTTCTCAGAATATTTTCAAGGATAAGCTATTGGCGTAGTAACCAGGGCACGGAAATTATATTGCCCAGCATGCCAAAGCCTTTATTTATTTTTTCTCTTTCCAGTCTGACCGGCCATGTTTATATTCAAACAGAAATCCGATTTAGTTTTCCCAAAATTTTAAGGAAAATTGCAATATTTTGTATGAGGTGAAAAAGCAGTATAAAATAGAAGATAAAAGGAACGAAAATCAACTGTAAGACTAAAATATTATTGGAATTAATTATACCTTGGAATTATACAAATAAGAATTTTTTGAAAAAAGTAATCTTTCTTCTGTTTTAATTTCACAAGTCATACTTATTTTTATTTAAAAGTACCTAAAAATTGTAATAGAAAATGATTTAAATTAAAGTAAATAATGTAGTTTTAAAGCAACATGTTGAAGGGCATTCCTTTACCTAAGTGCTTATTAATTTTGATAATATTAGTCCTTTGTTGAAAATAATGCTCTGCATGTACTCCATAGATGTTTTACACTTCCTTGTTAATAATATTTAAAATATACCTAATAATACTTAGAATATACCTAATAATACCTAATATCTTGTTAATAATACCTCTTCTCAATAATACATGAAATACTTGATAATAAACTTCATTATTTTGACATAAAATATAAAGATGGTAACTATAACTAACGTAAAAATATAAAAATTTTAATAAAAAACGACATGTTTCAAGCTCTCAAAAGTAGGCGCCCATTTACAAGCCTTGCTACACGTGAATGAGGAAAACAAAAGTTATTTGACAAATAAAACGAAAAGTTGGCAACGAAAAAAGAAAAATAAAGCTAGAAAAAAAACCGTGGTAGCCGAGAGAGACAAAGCAGAGCAAAGTACACCATCACGTGCTATAGAGAGATGGTGAGGAAGTCAAGTCATTAATAAGGGAATCGTCATTCTTATGAATGAAAAATGATTTCTGGGCATTACGATGAGCTGATGTGTCAGGGGCGGAAATAATTTTGCCATTGCTGAAATTGAATTTATATCCAAGATTCCAAAAATGTGTGGCAGTTGATGATTTATCACATTCTTGATAACGGACATATCAAACGGACATTTTTAGTCGAAATTTCAAAGAACGTACATGAAATACTTTTTTATACTTAAAAAAGTTGATGTAGACATATCATTTTTTTCGAAGGTTTATTATAGGAGCTCTCACATATGTTAAAATTTATATACTATTGAATTTAATGTTCAGGCACATACAAAGTTACAATAGGGCCTGTATTTCGTAGAATAACATGTCCCGCAAAGCATGTGAAAATTTTGGAATTATTTAAGACCTAATAATTACTATCTCTGTCAAATTTTCAGGAAGATTTTCAGTTTATATTTAAAGTAGTAACATAATTTATATCTTCTTACTTGATTTTTGG